CACTTGTTTCGTTTCAACAATCATATTTGCATTGCTTCATGTTATGAGTAAATAATCACATAAAACTAAAAAGATAACAATTTTTTCCTTCCTTTTCAAAGGGGAATAAGAAATAATCATGTACACATTGAGAAAAATTAGATTGAACAACTATGAGTTTAAAACTTTTAAATTTAACTAAGTGAACTTTTTTTCCAGATAACTATAATATGTATAAGTGATATCATTATAAGAAAGATGATTGACAATAGGATATTTGCTAGACAGTTTCCTAGCAGGGGATGGATCAATGGAAATACCATCTAAAGAAAATAGACTATCTAGGAATAAGATACTCAAATATATTAACAAGAGATAAATTAGGTAACATATCAAAAATTTTATTACAAGCTTGCATATAGATTAAGTTTTGATATAAGATTCTACTGGATCAACTCCAAACAATTATATCTCTTAAAATTTAAAGAGTTACGTGTTTCAAAACCTATCAAATTAAAGGTATTTGAATTTTCTTTCCAACGCCACCAATTTTTGCAACAATTTAAATTTTGAGTAAAAGGTTATGACTATTTTAGTAACCTGATACAGTGCAGTGACGGATTAGCCGATAGAAAAACATTAAAAAGGTTATTTTTATCTTTTTTGCCTCTAAGAAAAACCCTAAACGGATTTTATTGACTAATAAAGGCCCAAGCCAATCAAGTTTTCATCTTTTGATCCAACATTCTCTTCTCTTTCAAACCTAAGGAAAAATCAAAGTAGAATAGTTTCATTTAAAAGATTTTTTCAAACTTTTTCAAGATTTTTCTTCAAGGAGTTTCATTCTTTCCAACTCAATTTTTTTCATACAATTATGAATCAATATTAATGAAAATCATAATTCTTAAGCATAGAGTTTTCAAGAAACTAATTCAACAATCTAAAGAAAGGTTTTCTTGATCGTTCTCTTTCAAGCTACTAATCAAGTTCTTATTCAAGATTCTTTGAGAACCTTGTTCTTTCTGGTATATAAGACTATCATAGTGTTAGACTAGTTCGTTGTTACGTCCATCATCTATTTTCAAATCGGTAAAAAAGTAATTAAGGATTCTATTCCTAGATTTGAGTATTCTTGATGAGTTGATTTTTTGTTCTCGTGTTTTTTATTATATTTTTTGAAATTCTATTCCTAATTATTGAATTGATATATGTTATGCGTTAAGATTCCTGAGTTGATTCATTCATGTCTATATTTCAGCATGAAACCTACAGATTAAGTATTCTTGAAATGAATAACATTGTTGAGTTCTGAGTATTAAATTTTCTATATTGTTTTTGGGATCATTGAGTTAATTCATTCAAGTCTATATTTTGAACTCTTTCGAGTTATAAATTTTGAGAATCTTTTAAAATGAATATTTTGTTTTAAACTGAGTTTTTGAAAAAGAAGGGATGATAATGGGGTAGAGCAGAGATAGGACGGAACGAGGCAAGGCAAGATAGGACATTACTTATATGGAACAGAGTAGGATTGAGCGGGTCAAAGCTAATATATGTAGAACTTTAAAAAGGCAGGGATGGATTGTGTTGGGCCAAAAGGCCCATTATTTCAGCTGAGTTTTGGCTGATCCCAAAAGCAAAATAGGAAAAATTTAAATTATTAATTGGTGACATTTATTTTTTGTTCTCCTCTTTCATTTTCATATTTTATTAATTAATTCTTGTGATTAAGCTTAATGAGAATATATAAGTGTGCTTTGGACAGTTTAAATAGTAGAATAATTTAATGATAAATTTTTCTTTGATGATTTTTTCATATTGACATTTATTCTCCTTTGTAATTAAGAACAATTATAAAGAATTATATAACATATAAAAAATGAAAATTAAAAATTAAATGGGGCGGGGCGAGGCAGGATGGAGCGAGAATGGTTATAACATTGTAAAAATTCTAAATGGAGTGGGGTAGAGCCGGTTTAAATCTTAGCGGGTCGATACTTGCCCCGCCCTAACCCCATCCCAACCTGTCCTATTTCCATTCATATGAGAAAGTAAAGAAAAATTTGAGAAAGAGTTTTAATCAATATTTGAGCAAAAGTATTAAGCGGACTAAGTATTTCTCGAATATTTCATTTTTACATGAAGAAAGAGAATATTATTTTTGAAAAATTAAAGAGAAACTTTAATTTTAAACGAGTTTGTGAGTTCATAAATATTACGGAGTAGTTACCTCTTTTTAAGAGGATAGTTTGAACAATTACCGCAAACTAGAGAAAGATTATGTTTTATACATTTGAGCATGGGTATATATATATATATATATTATTGAGAGTAGTATTGAGCATCAATAAAGGAATGAGTTCAGACAACTCGAAATCCTAATAAACCATGTACGCCAACATGACTAAACGAACATACTTTTTAGATGAATCTTTAGTGCCTTCAGGTAGAGCTTAGTGGATTCACTTAGCTAAGGTGTTTTATACCCTAGCAAAGTATAGAATAGTTCTGACAGCATAAGCGAGACGATGTATCGTTACGAAACTCATAATGATGATTGACGGTTAGAGAATCTCTCAGATAGAGTTAAATGTGTATTTTTATCATATCACTTAATACGTTAAGTTCAAAGACGAGTAAGTATTTTTGTAAAGTTTTAATGATTTCATTTTTTATTTCTTTACATTCAATTGAGTATGTACCTATATCCATTACAGTCCTTTCATCCATTTTTTTGTTATTCAGCTATATTACATACTCGTACATTCAATGTGTTGATGTCATTCAACCTGTATCATCAAACGATACAAATACATGCTTTTAGGAACCTCAACAAGAGTTTGTTAAGATCACTTCATTCATTCATCAGCTTTCGAGTGAGGTCTCTTTGCTTTCGGGTGACTCCAGTTTTATGAATTGTTCGTATTAGTAGCATTTTGAGTAGTCATAGGTCTTGTCCTGACACTCGTCTATATATATTAGGAGCTTTATAGATAGATAGTTTTGGAGTCTTTCTGTTTCATATGTTTTATTTAAAACTTATGTTTCATACTTTGTATATTCAGAGAGTTTTGAGATTTAACTATTAATTTAACATTTTTTTTTGGGTTGATGCTTGTGTATGCATGAATTAGTCTTCCACTTATAGTTAGACATGATAAGAGTTCATTAGGGAGCCAGTAACGATACTCGAGTGTCAGCCACGTTTAGGGTGTAGGCTCAAATCGTGACATCTCGTAATTATCAAATTCGATAAGTTTGACAGGAATTATCACAGAATTTGAAGTATCTTAGGGACCTCTGAAACAAGGATGACTATAATCAATCTTCTTTGTCGTCATGTATCGAATCTTAACAATTTGAAGTGTACATAAAAAATAAACAAAATGAAATTCTAATACATCCAATGTCATTGGCTCTGATACTATGTCAGAAGTGAATTATGAAGCAAGTTTGAAATAAAGAAAATCAGTTAAGAACGAAGTAAAAAATAAAATTTGTGTATTGGAAATATCTTCGCTTGTCGTTTTAACCGTACGTCATCTCCTCTATTTATGGAGGTGTGTAATTGATACAAAATATTTGATCCGCTAAACTGTTCATTAACCGTATCCTGACAAACTAATTAACGATCAACCGATCAGCCATGTTAGTAACTAACTAGCCACGTAGATAACTAACGTATCCTAACGAACTAACGACTAACGACTAACGAATCAGTCATGATAGTAACGAACTAGCCGCGTGTATAACTAACTAATCCACATGTTAAAATAATCACATTATATTTCAATAATATACTTACTGTTTTATTATTTGCTCGACTTTAAATTTGGTTGTCATATTTTTCTTTTTAATCCATTTATAAAATAAATCTTTTTTTCCTTTTTGATCATGATTTAATTTGAACTTTTCACATAATATGTTTTAAATTACAAAATTAATGAAAATTTTGATATATTGACATATCTAATTTAAGATTACAATATTTAAAAGTTTCTTTATTTTAATAAACTATGTGTACAAATTAAAATAAGACAAATAAATTAAAATGAATAAATATTTTAATTTTTTTTTGCTGAAATTTAATAATTATTTCTTTATCATGTCAATCCTAACTCGTTATGTCTTGCACTTTGCCATTAACATCACCAACACCAACATTCCCGTAATTATTTTTTCTTTCCTTGATTCTAATGATAATGTACATGAATAAAATATCATAACGTAATGAAGCCAAATTGACTATCCATATTGGGGATTTATAAGGTAGTTTATATATATGGTTGCATACAAATTAACATTTCACTCTCTCTCCTTTTCAATTTTGAATATGTAATAGTATATTGTACTATGTTAGTCATTTAAAATTTTGAGATAAACCAACATTAAATCCTTCTATTCACAACTACTTTCTTGTCGATGATTAAGTTTTCGAATCTTGAATAAAAAATTTATGTTTAGGAAAAACTATTAACAAGAAAATCAATCAATCATTATGACACCCCATATAAGAAATAAATATTTATTTCTTTCATACAATAGATTTTTTATCATCTTTAAAAAGTAATATCTTTTATTTTTAAACTATTTTTCAAATTAATACTATTAACAAGTAAAATAGGAGATAAGTACTGAAAATATTTTTAAATTTTGAGCTAAATCATCAATTCGCTTTCTAACTATTAACAACATCTTTTGTTTGACTAATTAAATTTAGATATAGTATCTTAATTTGCTACATGAGATAACAAGCAATTTCAAACTATTATAGAAACATAAAAATACTGAGAGAAGAGAATTTTGAGCTAAGTTATCAATTTGCTTTCCAACTATTAACAAGTTAAAAACATCTTTTGTTTGACTAATTAAATTTAGATATAGTATCAATTTGCCACATGAAATAACAAGTAATCCTAAACTCTTATAGAAACATAAAGAAAATGAGTGAAAAGAATTTAAGATGTATTTCACAAGATCGAAATATATATAATTATGATATTGGTGAAGGGACAAGGATAGGAGTGAGAATCTAAAAAGTTGATCCATTTTTTCATACACTTGATCACCAAGAAAAATCCAAGAATAGATATAATTGGAGAAGATAGATCCAATGTCTTGACAAATTCCATGCCTCTCTCTTCCCATGTCAGTTACAAGAGTACTAATTATTCTTTTCTCTCTTTTTCCATCTTCCTTTGTACATATAGAGTGGCCCCAGCAGATCCGAAAAGCTCCATTCTTTCCGCATTTTCCCCATGACATTGTACCATCTAATAAGCATCTTTTTCTCCACACCCTTTTCTGTAAAGTTCTACTTCCTCTCTGAGTTTCTTCTACTCTGATGGGTTCTTTTAGATTCCTTTCATGCTAGCAAGGAGCTAGAGCTTGAGGTAATCTTGAATGAGAGGTATATCTTGTTGGGGTTTGTTTTTATCCCAACCTGATGCATTTTAAAGACTTGGGTGTCTGGTAGTTTCTTGGAAGTATGCACTTTGATGATAATCTTGGTGGATTTCTCTTGCTTGTTTTTTTTTTCCTAAGCGGTTACATTTTAAAAACTTGGGTCTTTGCTAATTTCTTGAAATTCTTATCTTTGATGATAATCCTGGTGGATTTCTCTTGCTGGTGTTTGTTTTTTTCCCCAAGCGGTTGCATTTTAAAAACTTGAGTCTTTGGTAATTTCTTGAAATTCTGACCTTTGATGATAATCTTGGTGGATTTCTCTTGCTTTTCTTTTTTCTTTTTCAAGCTGTTAATTGCATCTTTGTTTGTGTATTTTTGCTGTGTTGGTATGTTGGTATGTTGGTGTTGTTTCATCTTCCTGCTCTTCTCTATTTTTGGGTGTTTTTTATCTGTGCTCTTTGTGTGACTGTTGATTCTTTCTGTTGGATCTGTGCATTGTGATTTTTTACCTTTAGTGGTTTTGTTAAGAATCTTTTGTTTCAAGTGCTTTGATTTTCCCTTTCTTTATCTGTATGACTGGTGATGTATGTTCGTTTCTGAGCTTTTGAAATCTAACTTAAAATTCAGACTGGTTCAGCTTGTGTTGATTGTGACCCCAAAGAAGTTCCTCTTCCTCTAGTTGGTTGTTGGATGAGTGGATGTGTGACTTTGTATTGCCAACGGCTAATAATTAACTGAATTCGTTAGCATTTTCAAAATTTTGTTAGTTTCGTAGAGATATCTCATTAGCTCCTTTATCATAAATGCGAACAACTCTGAATTAGGTAGATTGGTCTTCCTGTTCCTTGTGTGAGGCCTTTTGAGAAAAATCGTGCTCAGTTAACCTGAAGTGGACAATTTTGCAGTTCCATTTATGTATCTGTATGACTGGTGACGGTGTTTGTTTCTGAGTTTTGAAATCTAACTCAATAGTCAGATTGGTTCACCTTGTGTTGACTGTGACCCCAAAGAAGTTCTTCTTCCTCTTATTGGTTGTTGGATGAGTGGATGTGTGACTTTGTACTGCCAACAGCTAATAATCAACCGACTTTGTTAGTATTTTTAAAATTTTGTTTGTTTCGTAGAACTATCTCATTTAACTCCTTTGTCGTGATGCAAATGACTCTGAATTAGGTAAATTTTAGTCTTCCTGTTCCTTGTGTGAGGCCTTTTGAGAAAAATCGTGCGCAGTTTACCTTAAGTGGACACTTTCACAGCATCTTCTTTTAGTCTTCCCGTTCCTTGAAATAGTAAGGGCATTGCCTGATGGAAATTTTACTGTAAGATATTGAAGTTGAGGAATAATCCAGTTTCATATGACTAATCTACCTAATTCATAGTCGTTCTCATCACGACAAAGGAGTTAATGAGATAGTTTTACGAATCAAACAAAATTTTGAAAATGCTAATGAATTCTGTTAATTATTAGCTGTTGGTAGTACAAAGTGTTCTTGTTCCTTGTGTGAGGCCTTTTAAGAAAAATCGTGTGCAGTTTACCTAAAGCGGACAATATCGCAGTATCTTCTTTTAGTCTTCCCGTTCCTTTTAAAGTAAGGGCATTGCCTGATGGAAATTTTACTGTAAGATATTGAAGTTGAGGAATAATCCAGTTTTATATGCATGTCCACATTCTATGTTATATTGGGTCATAGGCAGGGGACAAAGAGCAGCACATTCTAACTCTTTGTCGTGTTCTGTCGCAGGGAGGAGGTGATTATGCGGCGGACTAACTATCTTCCAGGACATTACAACCCAACAGATAATGTTGTCAGCCTTACGGGTAATTCACAGTCAATACCCCACAGTGATATCGCCTGCAACAGTAGTAGAGGCTTCCATCTTGCATTTCCTCCGCTTATGGACGAGAGTCAGGATTTAGTTAATGAAAAGGAAATATTGAGACAGACAATGCTCAAACATGATGCGACATTTAGATATCAGGTATATACTATTTTCTGACGATTCAAAATTCTCATCGTCGACTTCCTCTCCCTGTAGGCCGAGCTTCCTTTTCAGCGTGGTCTTTACTTTGGTTAGCCTTTGAAACAGATTATTGCCATCTTGACGCAATATTCAACCAAGTCCTTCAGTTTGTTTCATGTAAATGAATTGCACTTATATATCCTTTCATGTTTCTGAAATTAACTATCCTGATTTATTAACTTATAACTTGCTCTTTCGTGTGGATTACAGTAAACCTTTCATAAATATTACTAGATTTGGCATTTCTACCTATATTTTTTTTTTCTCTTGTGCATTCTGTTTTCTTTTTCTTTCTCCATTCCATTTCATCCTTTGTTTTGAAGACTGTAGTGTATTTGATTGGTTTTGGTCTCGAGCAATGGTGACCTTGGGAGTGCTTCATCACTTGGTGATTCACTTAATTGATCATGATGGAGCAGAAGTTTGAATTTTGTTTTCTTTCAGGTCAGTGAGCTGCATCGCTTATATGGAAGACAAAGGGAATTAATGGATGAGATGAAAAAGAGAGAACTAGTAGAAGATCATATGCACTTGCAAGCATCAAAGGCAAATACTTCTGTGTCTCTGTTTAGGTCTGACATTTCTGAGAAAACCTTTAGGCGCTCAGTTAATCTCACGAGCATTGAACCATATGCACCAAGTAAAGAAATGTTTCAAGATCCCTTTAATTCTGGTGCTGATAAGACGGTGCAACCAGGAGGTGACTGTCTTTCAGGTCAGAACATTTTAAACGAATGCAAGCCATCATCATTGAAGAACGACACGTCAAGGAAGAGAATCTTGGACCTTGAACTTCCAGCGGAAGCCATTAATAATGAATGCAGGGAGCAATTTGAGGAAGAAAATCCTGCTAAAAAGAAAAATAATTTAATCTCAGAACTTCAACCTCAATGTTCTTCGAAAGTCAACCTTGTTGCCTCTGGAAACTCTTCCAGTTCTCCCTCAAGTAGTAGGGGTACCTTTCTTTTGTTTGACCTGAATGAACCTGTACAGCCTTTTGAGTCAGAGTGTCCAAATTTGGCATTTGAATCGAATAACATTCACGAGGAAATCAGGGACAGAGATCTGGATTTATCCGGTATGGCACGTGCAGATTTCTCAACTCTGAATAAAGAAGGTATCCTGAATTTCCCTTGAGATAAGATTCTGATCATAATTTTGAAGATGCCATCATGCTCTTTTTCTTTTATTGTCTTGCAGAGTACCTGATTTTATTTCCTATGTTGCATCTGTTATTAGTTTTTCGTAATGACTGGCTTCTTCATAGGATTACATCCTTCCCATCTAAAAGCTATTTATAGCATTAAGTTTCACAATTTTTACTATATGCACTTTCAGGGAGAGATGAAAGCAACTTGAAGTCGTTTGATGAAGTTTCTTCTGTTGGGAGAGCACTTATTCCATCTAATCAACCAACATCGTTGCCCTTAGAAAATGTAGACAAGATTTATGCTGAAACCACAACTGACAAATCACTGGCGATTTCTTCTTGGAGAGAATTTAAGCAGATTCCTGTTGCAGTACAAGCACTTTCATGCTTTAATAGTGATGCATCATTCAGCAAGAGTACTGAGTCCTCTGTTAGGAATTCTAATCTCACTGCAACGAAGTTAAATGTGGACCTAGGTCCTGTGTCCACTCCAACCTCTGGAAGTTTGACTTCTTGCTTTATGCAGCATGATGCAAGTGATAGTACAGGTGAGCACAGTGCTGCTGTAAAAGAGAACAAGTTTTCAGACTACACAAGTTCTGGGAACGGCATGGACTTGAATTTGACACCTTCTACCAGCTTGTCTGACTGCCAGTCTGCACCCTCCGTCGACATTTCCCAACTTAATTTTCCTGAAGGCAGAAATGTAGAGATACAGAAAAACTCCGAGGTTCCTGACAGTAACATGGTTCCTAATTCTACAGCTGAATATGGAAAATGCACCAGGGATAATCACCTTGTAGGTTCTACAATTGATAGCAAGCTTTCAACAGCTAATAGTTGCATCAACTTAAACTCTTGCATCAAAGAAGACCTTTTGTCATCTAGTCCAAGTGAAGCAACAAAGTCTACTGCAGAAAGAGATCTAAAAGGTCCTGTTAGCCCAGAAAATAAGGAGTGCTCTCCACCCAGAGGAGATTCTCAGGACATTAGTATCAGAACATCAATCGATTTGTCAAGAGGAGGCCATGATGATCCAATCAAGGAACCTGACACTGTTGCAGCTGATACACTTGTTTATATTTCGTCATCTGTGGTTCACAGGTTCTCAAAGAATGCCATTGGTGAACCATCTGAATCCTCCAGCAACTGTCTTCGTAAGCTTGCTGAAGTTGCTACTTCTTTGGAAAGTATTCAAGAGAATGAAGTTGAAGAATCCATGGAAGTCCATTTTAAGCGCGATGTACTTCGTTCAGAAAGGACTGCTTCAAGTCGGATGAAGCTTAATCTGAGAAAGGGGCACATTGATAATAGTCGTAGCTATTTGAAGGTTGCAAAAAAGAAGGGAAAAGGTATTGTGTGTAATCAGACAAGGAGGGGTCAAGCAAGAAGGACAAAGGAGCAGAAGAACCTTCAAACAGATGAAACAAATGTTGCTTCAAAATCTGGTGCATGGAAAAAAACTCCGAGTAGGACGAGTTCCAGAGGCAGGAGACGGTCCAGTGATGAAGAGAGAACAATGTGCTCACTCCTACTGCAGCATACTTTGGACAACAAACATGGGATCACAGGCAGATTTTTGAAAGGCTGGGGGATGACAAAAAAGAGGCAAAGTACTCGGAGAGCTAAGTCTTGTGTGTCTCCTCTTTTCTTAGCTGCTTGAGTAAATTTTAAACTAATGTATTTATAGTACAGGAAGTTGACGGCTAGGCTTTTCTTCTCTTTTTTCTAGTACTGTTGAAGATATTATGTACATATATTTAACCGAGAAGCATATAGAATACTTAAGTTACTCCAATGGAAGTGTCCATATTCAAGTTACCAATGGCATCGACAACCACCCTTTTGTTACAACTTACTTAACATTAGTTTTGGAATGAACAACTTTTTCTTTTTTCTGAGTTTCACAACAAACCCTTAGTTCTTCTTGAAACTAATCTTTTTGTATGTAATTCACGTTGAAAGTATGCATAAGAATAATCTAATGAGTTTATGGTCAATTGACAACCATAAAGAAAAATTTATTAGTTTATGGTTTAAGGCATTCTAGTCTAGTCTTTTGTGTGAATCCTAAGAACTTACTTTAATCGAATTAAATGAGATGTATTCTCACTTTAATCTAGTGAAACATCCGGTACAAATAAATATTTTTTCGCATACATACACATTTATACATAAAAAAAATATTTGGTAATCGCTTGGTTCAGTTTCAAAATGTTCTGATCATCAAACCAACTATGATATTGAATGTTTTGCAGAACTCAAAACGGTTTTATATATGAACTAAATATACAATTAATACATTTTCTATTTTTACTTTCTATGCTAATTGTGATTGTTTTTGTGAAGATTTACTATTTCTATAAAAATATTTAACTCTGCTACAATTACGCTTGTTCTCACATAAATTTATCAATTCTACCAATAAGATCAAAACTTCTTTCTTATTCCCTTCTTTCCACAAAACAAATTTTAACCGATTGTTTGGGGTCCCTCTTCCTTACATCTAAGTAAAAGGTATAATTTTAGCAAAACTTTTTTTTTCTTCTTTCTCTTAACATTTTTTTTCTTTATTTGTTAGTTAAAAGTTTCTTGATTCTTGATTTTAGAATTGAGTTTCTTCTTGATGATCAAAACTTCTTGTTTCTATTCTGAAACCTCAATGGTATGATTTGTTTATAGCCAAATTCATTTTTTCAAATTTTAAAAATTTAAAACTTAATCTGATTTTAAAAGATTGTTGAAGAAGAGTACCTCAATAAGTAGATCTAAATTCTTGGAATATAAGATTGTTCATCTAGCACATTGAAAATGGATATGTTGATTAATTAAGGCTGTTGATAATAGGGAATATCAAATATATGGTGTAATCTTACATGAACAAAACAATGACGATGTCTTTAATGTAATTCTACAAAGTGGGGTATGGAAATCTCACCTGAACAAGCAAGATTATATATTTGATGTCAAGAAATGGAGATGTTGATTAATTTAATGTGACCAAAACATCTGTGCTAGAGTTTATGTTCTCAGCCTCTATGAATGATATAGCCAAATTTGAGCTTTGGGATTTTAAGCTTATTGTTGTTTGAGGGATAAGAATTTGAACTAATCTATTAGGATTAATAAGATGATAAGAGTTCAAGTTCGAGTTCAAGTTGGTGGAATGGACAGATGAAAGCATTAACCGAAAGCTTCTGAAAAGAACATTTTCTTCTTGTTGTTTTATCCTGTTTTTTCCTCGAAAAACTGTTATGAAATAAGTGATAGCATATCCTTTTTCTAGCTTTCCAACTGCTCAATTTCATGTTAGCAACTGTAGGTTATGAATATAGAGGGCACTAAATGTATGTAATTCTCCTTTTGTTGTTATCTGCATTTTATGACAGAATGTTGAGTTAAGTCACACAAGCCATGGATGAAAAAGCATCCCCACCTGATCTTCACCAGTTAACATGTCCTTGTTTCTGTCTATTTAGGACTCCAAACGTGTGAAGTTGACGGTTCAAAAAGCACTCTGGTACTTCTTGCTTTCAGGTTCCGGTGAGTACTCTTGTTTAGCAGTTGGGGAAGTAGCAGAAAATATTCACAGAGATTTTTAGTTGCTTACTCTAAACCCCTCTATATCATGCTGAACATATCTGCAGGGGTGTTGGTTTGCTATTTCATTTCCTTCTCTTACAATGGCTGATGGAATACCTGAAAACCTGGAGAAAATCGAGCCTATAGTAAATCGTGTGAGAAGGAATTCAACCGGAAGTGTAGGCTTTGAAATGGGAGGATACAAGGTCTTGTCACGTTATCTTGACGTTCCAAGAAGTTCATGCCATGATATGTGCAAACATGGTTATGAACATGATTCTCCAACGAAGGCTAAGATTCCTCGGCCCTCAAGAGCAACATTAGGGAAAATCCTAGAAAGGAAGAAAGTACCAGGCTCAACTAAACTACCTTCTGAGATCAGGAGCCAGACAACTTGCCAAGTCAATGGACAGGAAATGCAATCGTCCACCAAAAGATTAGCGCCTTCTGGAAATCAACAAAGTGAGTCCAAGCTTAAGCCTTTGGAAGAAAATGCATCAAGAAGGCATCAAAGAAGATACAGTGACAACTTTATACCAGGGAATTCTTCGAAACTTCAAGAGTCTCTATCAAATGGATCAAGCAGTAGACAAAACCAGAGCTGTAAAATGGAGAAAGACAGTGGATCCTCCGAGCTAAGCAAGAAAAAGAATATTGTTACCTCAACTGTTGCATTGTCTCCAAAATCTTCTGTGAAAAAAGTATCGAGCACAATATCCAGTAACAACTCCCCCAGAAAGGCATCTCAACTTAACAGTAGGACTAGTCTTGCGCCAAGCAGGACTGGGAAAATCAGTCATGAAAATGTGAAAAAGAAGACGTCGCATCTTAGAGAATCAAAGACTAAAAGCAACACTACAGGTAGTTCCCAGGAAAATAGTAAGGCCAAAGAATCCTCTTTGCATAGAGATGGTTCAAAGCGAGGAAAGACAGTGTCTTCATCCCTTTGTTCCCCATCATTTCCACCATCTTCAGGTGGTAGTAACTCGAGAACTATTGACACCACTACCCAGTCATCCGTTTCCTCATCTTCATTGATGTCACCGTCATCAAACTCAGCAAATGAGTCTGCTCACTGTGATGGAACAAGCTCTAGCACCAGTCAAAATGGAACTACAACTCAGAAGCAAAGCACAAAACCTCGGAAAGCTGGACAACTTGGCTTAGAAAAGGAAGATTGCAGTCCTAAACAGCTCAAGTTCAAAAAAGGGAAGACAATTGATATCCAATCTGAGAAATACAGTCCGCGGAAACAAAAGTTGAGGCAAGTCACCATAAAAGATAAGGGCGAAAATGAAAATGGTAATCCAATAGGAAAAGGTTTGAGAAAATCCAATGCTGATGGCCATTCATATGCTGCGAAAGGCGAAGTTGTGACAGTAAATCTTCGATCCAATGGTATAGAGGATTCAAAAGAAACTCCAAGTTTGTTCAACAACGTGATTGAAATTACTGCAAGCAAGCTTGCCAAGACTAGGAGAAGCAAGGTCAAGGCTCTGGTGGGTGCTTTTGAAACTGTAATCTCCCTTCAGGATAAAAAATCCTCTCCAGTAATTGGAAGATCTTAACTTACATTTCTCTTTACAGAAGGAATTTGTCTGCCAGATGCAGGATTCCAAGCAGTAATCTGTATGATAATACTTTGTTACTGTCCTAGTGACTATTACTTTAGGTAGTTGTAGGGATTGATCACTCAAATTTGATTTTTAATCGAGTTAATGAGTGCTTAGAACAGTCTATTCAGAGAAATTTGGTTGAGCTTAAGACATTCTTCGATGAGTAACTCACCCATGTAAAATTTCAGTAGCTGAGGTACTTGTTAGCGTATTAAGTCTTACCATTAAGTATTGGTTTTATTCTGCATAATAGAATAGTCCAGACTTTAAAATTCTTTGTTGAGGATGACACACAGTCATCCTAATTCTTTTATGCCTGTACATATTTGCTCAATAAACAACAGAAATTTCGGAGGATTACTCTGAAGCCAAGTAGAAATCAAAATGTTGTATTTATATTCATGTTTACCAAAACATTCTTTAGCTTTACAAGACTGGAAAAAGAAAATAAGTTCATCAATTAGTAGAACATTGACTGCTGGAAGTAGTAAGATTTGCACTCTATTATAAAAATTAGAGTTTCATGATTTCTTGAAATGCATTTCATCTCCCATTAAAGACTCCACTAAAAACCAAGCTATCGCCTCCTAATGATGCCTCCCACTCTGTGGATGAGATCCTGATTTGAGATAACGAAACAACCACCTCCCGCATTTCTGGTCTGTTAATTGCATTTTCACTTAGACACCACTCTGCAATTTCTGCCATCTGTAGTGTAATGAGAAAATATCAGCTCTAGATGCATAGTCTACTGGCTATCAAAATAGAAGTAGAAGAACTACAGACTTGGACATCAAGAATTTTTAGATTCCAACCTTGTATATATCTTCCATGGGGTAGCATCCCTTGAGATTTTCATCTATAAAAGATTCTAATGCTGAGTCTGGATCCTCGCCTTGGAAAATTTCATGAATCTGGCCATTCAGTTGATACCTTTTTTTGTTAATGGAAGACTACATATAATGCATATAAATTAAAGCTATAACAGGCAAGAAAGTGATCTCCTGACATCCATGCTCTAAGAAATGCATACATCTCACTTATTCTTCATTTTAGGTTCTTCTTTCGTATAAGCAATTTTTAGTATTTCAAGTCATGTTCTAAAATAGAGTCATTTGTTTCCGATGGTCATTCATGTGGTTGTGTTTTATTACTTAATATATCTCTGCTAAATAGTTGACTTACAATAGAGATGAGTGATTTCATCTTGTTTGGATCCCCATTTTCACGAATGAGTGCACGTTTGCCAGTAATTAGTTCTGCAAGAACTACTCCAAATGCAAAAACATCTGTTTTGGTAGTTATCTGCAGCTCTTTTACAGATCTGTAACATATGAGGCATCAGAAGCAAATCTTACAAATTCATCTAATCATATGGTTCTAATAATGCAAGACAATATAGCATTCCATTGTAAAAAAAAAACAAAAAAATGGTTAGCAAGAATGACTAAATGCACATGCTTACTCAGGGGGAAGATATCCTGGTGTTCCAACTAGGCGGGTCGCCAAGAATTCATCTTCATTAGTCCGACCAACTAGTTTTGCCAGGCCAAAATCTGCAACCTATAAAAGAGCACTTTCTTGGATGTATGTTAACTCAAAACTACAAATTTTTTACCAAAG